CCTCCAGTGTGTCAACTGAACCACACAGCTTGGTGTCACTGGCAAACTTGCTGAGGGTGCACTCAATCCCACTGTCCATGTCAGCGACAAAGATGTTAAACAAGACTGGTCCCAACACCGATCCCTGAGGGATGCCACTTGTTACTGGTCTCCAGCCGGACATTGTACTTATTGCATAGAACCATTGTGGTTATGCTACTCAGTGAAAAAGTTGTAAGTATGGAAAATAAGGGAAATAAAGGATAGCAGATTTGCTTATTATGGACAAGTGGTATCAGTGATGCTTTGAACAGAAGTGTTCAGTATACCACATTCATCTGATATATGAAAGCCATATACAGTATTAAGATTTCATATGTTCAGTCGTTGGCTGATGTGTGTAAATATCTTCTTAAATAATTGAAATCCTGAGAACTGTCATTTCTTCTTCTTATGAAGTGCTTCAGTTTTGATATTCTCTATTTTGGTATTTTCTGTATGCTCCACCATAAACATAGGATCATTTCAAAACTTACGCATGAGACTAAATTGTGCTGTAGGCATGCATGTACTGATCATTACCAACTTAAAAATGGAATAATCAAAGAAGATAGGAAAAATTAAGATAACATTTGTGGTTTATTGTAGAGGTAAGGAAAATGAAAATATGTAGATCAAGTGCCTTGTTTCTTCCACTGACTAGGAGGTAAAAACTGTCCTAGATACTTTTAGAGTTTCAGTTATTGCAGCTGTCTTTAGTTTCTAGCAAATCTACCCTAGAAGGTATAAGCAGCAACAGGCTTTAAGATAGATAGGAAGGGAGGGATGGAGTAAGGGAGGAAGAGAGGGAGGGAAAATCTAGATTACATTGCTCAAAAGGCAGTTTCTTGAAAAGAGAAGGATTAATATCTCACCTAAATAGACTGAAGGGCAATATTGATGGTTTCAAAGAAAAGTGTAATGGTTGCTTCTTGTAGAGTGATTAACAAAGCCATTTTGCATTAAAGTAGCAGAAGGTGGGAGCAATTAACACAAAAATTGCAGAAAAAAGATTTTGAAAAGAAACAATTTACTGATATCTTTCTATCCAACCCCCAACATCCTTTTTCCTCTGTATTGGTGAAAAGTGAAACATGAATTCCCTGACCCTTATACTTGTAAAACAACTTTCTTGTAAAATTCCCAGTGAAAGTTCTAAACTGATAAGTTGTCACTGTAGAGTTACCCATGCTGTAATACAAACACTGGGCTTTAAAAATGTTATTGCATGATGTCCCATTTCATTTGTGCATTTATGTGTACTTTAAAATGAAAATATTTTATTAAATGTGAATTTTTTCTTTCATTACAAAATGTAACAGAAATTCAGATGCAAGATAATAAAATCTACAGTACAGTAAGACTACCAGAAGGTTAGTGAGTTCTGTGATGTCTCAGATTTCATATCATATTTCCTTTGTATAATTTATGCATTATTTTCTTTTTCTGAGAGAATAACAACTGAAATTTCATTTTAAATAGAAGCACTCATAAGAAATAAATCTACACCTACACATCAAAATCAGGCAACAGACTGTACCATAGCACTAATAAATACTTTTGGTAGCACATACCAAAAATTTAGCCCTTCAGTGTGGAGAGGCATTTCTCAGACTGTTCCTGGAATTTTTGCAGTTGAGTATCAAAAAGAAAGCAGTATTTCAAGTCTAGTATCTCCTTTTCAGACCCACAGGTATACACTCTTCTTGCCCATTAGTAAATTCTAAGTGTTAGATGTGATGAATTAATTCACGTGAGAAAATTAAACCAAAAGGTGTTTACAATAGCGATGCTTCCTACCTCTTTTCCCCCTAGAGAAACAGGAAGACCAGGCAACAAGCTTCGGATTTGAAGAGTTCATTTCGGCAACTGAACTGATTTTCTTCAATCCCACCATGCTCTATATTTTCGATCAAAAAGCCCAGTGCTGAACAAAGGCTCTTCTCCTGAATAGAGGTATCCTGGAAGTTGCCCATTTCCTGCAGTAGCAGTTAAAATTCCCAGCCACTTGAACTGTATGAGGCACAGCCTTCAAATAGGTTTGCGTGTGGCTGCCAGAGTGGTGTGGCAGTGTTTTTCTTAGCAGCTGGGGAAGTTTAGAAGTTATAATGGAAAGATTTTCAATGACTTCCCAATTATATCTGAATATTATTGGATTGCTGCTTTGATGTTGCCAACATTGTATATGAAAGTATCTAAGTTTTCCAGATGTTTCCTCAATAAAGAAAATTACTTCAGTTCCCAGTTACCAATTCTTCCCTATATATTTAAAGCTCATTTTCAACCATAAAGAGAAATCCTAGATGAATTAAACCAATAAAATTACAGTTAGACAACACTGTTGTCTGTGTCCAAGCCTGGCTGGAGTTCTGAATAATCTAAGTTTGTTAAGCTTGAGCCTTTTCCTGGATGGGCTTTAACCTCAAACCTGTTCTGTTTGTACCTGTTGGAAATTCAGGTATGTTCATTGCTTGGTGTTGTCCAACATTAGCTTTCAGCCAAGGTGAAGATGGAGTTATCTCAAGTACAATTTCAGGCCTTCAGCTAACACTGCAGCATAGATATTTCCAAAGGATTTATTATCCTATTAAGCTGAATTTTAAGCTTAAACTAATGAGGTATTAAATAACTTTCTAAAAATAATCAGGATGTTTATCCAGGAAGCTCTGGGTTGGCTCTTCAGACATAAGGACAGGTGTATTTTGCAAAGAATATGTCAAAAAGCAATTGAAAATGAAGAATTAATTTAGCCATGTGTTGCTTCTGTGTCTTGGGAATTCTGAGTTTGAGAACTGATGTCATAAAATATCAGTTATAAAAGGATCTTGCAGCAATGGTATTCCCAGGTTTCATCACCCCAAGGATGAAATTTCTAACCTTGTCTTGGAAAAGGGACCTCTTTTAGTGCTGACAGATTTAAACTCCATCAATGACTTTAACACGATATTGAATTTAACTTAACTTACTACCAACTACAGATGGAACTTCATCTGTTGTAACAGCAACAATATTTAAGAAGCCTCAGCCATTGCACTGAAAATATTTAAACAACCTTTCATAGATTTTATCTTTTGTTTATGGTAATGACCAACCATAGCTAAAACTTTACATCTGTATTTTCATCTGAAGAGCAAAAGAAGATAGTCAGTTTTCAAAATTATTTGAAACTGATCATTTACAGCTTTATCATTTTTTCTGCTTTCCAGAGGCAATCAGAACACTTCTGTTGAGAAAATCAGAGTAACTTATTACTATAAAAATAATAAATCTTATTGTTTTAATGTTTTACATGAAATATTTTCCCAGCTTATAAAGTTATATTGCAATTTTGGAATAGCTTAAAATATGAGTAAATTGTATACAAGACTTAGGGATGAGCTGTGGTGTTGCTGAGCCTGATTACAAAACCCCCATACAGTAGGGAATTTATATTTGTATATGAAACTATAGCAGTTGCATCTGTAAATACAATTGACAATTCAACTCTAATTTTTACTTTAATTTTTTTACTCTGAACTTTTTCACCCTTAACAGTGGCAATCATAGGGTCAGATATTCTATTTCTGGAGTAACTTAGAATGTACCAGAAATACCAAGAAGTCTTTGCATATGCCAGGTTGATACAATAGACATATTAAATACCATACACACTTAGAATTTTTGATTAATAAAGTCACAGTGTTAGTAAATGGAGTTTCAGGCACTTCTTTTCAGAAGGGAACAATTTGACTTACGATTAAAAAAAGGGGTTGAAAACTCAGGGGAGAATGTTTAAAAGCTTTGTCCTCGGCCAGAAGAGGTCACCCTTGTGCGTGGCATAAAATGAGTCTGAACCTTTTGCCCCTTTCTCTAGTTCATTGGAAATTAGTGGGTTTGGTTTCAATGAAAAATATCATATCCGACCATTCCTGAATTTGGGGGAGTTTTAGAATCCAGATTGGACCCAGGTTCCACACCTCAATTCTTTCTTTACGCGGTAAAGTGGTTCTACTGGTGGTACACGTATCTTTCAATTTGCACCATTGCCTGAAGCTCTTCACTTCTTTCTCCCAGTGACAAGATTCACATCATATCTCTAGCTCATGTGGGTTTAAATGAGGAAAATTGTTTCTAAAGTCAATAAACTTAGGTCAATTTGTAGTTGATGAAAGATGAAAAGTTAGCTTATTTATTTTAAGATATAGATTTACTATTTATTGTTCACTATTTTTAAGGATTGTTTTCAGCAGTACAAAGCTTTTCTTTAAAACAAAAGTTATCATTTTAAACTTTGTTTCCTCTCCTGCTGTTGAGAATTGGAAATGCAAGAGATACCTTCTTGTGCCTCCTGTACATTCTTCTGCTTCCTAATTAGGTACAGGGGTTTCTAATGCAAATTTAGTTCATCTTTCTTCTCTCTGGGCACAAAACTATGACTGCTCATCTGGGATTTTTTTTCGTTCTTTCTTTCCCTTCTTTAAAAGAAAAGCTGTGTCCTTTCACACATGTAACCAAGATCTGGAAGTCTGCCAGCATCTGTCTGACTCATCATTTTCAAAAGATACTGTGAATGCTGGGAATCAAATTCTAGCTGTGAGACCAAAGGTAGACACTTGAGTGCCAAATTCCATTGCCACTTTACCATTCGAGCCCACTTGAATAATGAATGCAAAGCAGAAAGCAAAACAGCTCTTTCTGTTGCTACACTACTACCAATAATCACGGAGCCAACATGGCTCTATACTAAGAATATGAATAATGTGCAAAAGAATTTTAGAAAAATACCTTTAGGCTAGAAAACTGAGACTAATCATAGTATTGTTTTTCATGAAAATAAGACTTCCTTTGAAGTATTTATGCTACTTCCTTACTATTCCCTTGACTATCTTTTGTTTTCATAATGTTTATTCAGTTAACTTAGTTATTTTTGTGCTTGTCTGGTTTTAATACCTTCTCTTCCCCCACTCCTTCTTTTGATTCATGTTTTTTTTCGCTTTTCTCAGGCTGATTTATCTCTGTCAAGAATTGCTTCATAGTGCAAGGTGTTGGACATAAATCCATTACTTATGGTATGACTATCGCTTCAGAAAAATGTGTTTCACATGGAGCTGGTTTTTTTTTCTTTTCAGTTTTTAAACACTGTTTTCCATTCATGGAACACAAGGACTAATCTTAAAACACAGCAAAATATAACTAGGTGTTCAATTTTTAAATTAATACATGCCAACAAAATATTTATTTCCACAGAGTTCAGGAGATGGTGCTACTTGAAGTGTTCACATAATGTAACTGCTACAGGGTTAACCAATGTACAGGGGGGTTGTACAGGGGGGTTGTACAAGGGGGTTAGAGAAATTCCCTTGCTTAAACAAAAGTATTGTCTGTACCTATCATGCCTACTAAGCAGAACAAAGGCACTAACCATTGATAAGGAAAAGCAGACACCTGGTTCTATTGACAAGGAAAAGCAGAGGCCTGATTCTACTGATAAGCAGCTATTGATAAGGAAAAGCAGACACCTGAAGGGGTAGATGCAGATGGTTTATGGCTGGGACACCGACCAAACCCTAAGGCCATATATGAAGACTAAAAGGTGAAAAGTTCAAGAAGAGGAAGACTCATTTACTTCATCCTGAAGACCCCTACCCACAGGAGGAAGACTCAGTTACTTCATCTTGAGACCCCTGCCCATGACCAGAGGGGGCACTGCACAGGCGCAAAGGACCTTCTAACTTCTAATATGAGGCGGAGATAGGACATGAATATGTATAGGCGTATTATGCAACCTTATGAATATATATAACTTTAGAGAATAAATGTAGAGGGAAACAACGCTGAGGCACGCATGACTTTAAGGAATTATCCCCGTGCGTCTCAGCGCTGAATAAAAAGCATACCTACTTTACAACTTTAACAAGTTGTGGAGTCAATCTGCGCATCATAACTACTAGTCATAACCTTCAATCCATATGCAAATCAAGGCTATACCTTCAGGGACCTGCCTATTGATTCTTAGGAGTATTGTGAAAAGTTGGGTCTTTGGTTCATATTATTATAATACATTTTGAATGGTGGAAAGAAAATATTAGCATAGTATCAGTGCAGACAATCAACATCTACCAGAATGATAACCATAAGAGGCTAATATTCTCACTGGATCTATTTAGTAATAAATTACTTGAACACTTGACATACTTGAACATGACACAGGAACTGCAAAAATCTAAGCAAAATCATTAGTGTTTAGATTGCTGGGTTTTGCAGCTTACATGTCTTGCAGTAAAGATTTTTTTCTGTATTTAGTTGACTCATTTCTTAAGTTTATACTATAGGAGATGGCTCCCAGGTGGGACTGAGATTTTATGCTTCCAATCACTGTTCTGACATATAAACGCATAAGCTTAAGCCACTGAATTTAAGGACAAAATTCCTGTTGGTCTCAGTAGGTTCAAGATTTCACCCCAGGCATCTTAGGAGACAGCACTTACAGTTCATAACATTACCACATTCCATTTGACAGTAAGTAAAACAAACATATTTCAAAACTTGCTGGTTTTAAGCTGGTGTGTTGCCATTACCCACATTACTCATTGGAAGTCTTTCTATATATAGATTGAAAACTATTCATTTTTCAGAATAAGGGAAAATAGCAGGCATCTGTACACTGTGTAAAGTGTGTATTTATAAATGTATACATGATGTAACATTCATCATGTCCATTCACTTATGTCTACTGAAATAAGTGTTGTTTGAACAAAAATCCTCTTTTTTTCCTTTTACTTGACTATAGGAAATTTGAAACTTCTTGAAATATCAGGCTGAACCTTGTGGTTGGTCAGAGTGAACTGTCTCAACCCCTTCGAAAATCACAGACTCTTCTTCTTTCATGTGTCAGAATTTGAACAATATTCAGACAAAGATTCAGATTTATTTTGACTAAATGTATTTAATAAGATATAGCGTACTTCAGCTGTTGACTCAAAGGTGTGTATGTTAAGAACAATACTTTCACATTTATTAAATTGCTCAAACGGGGAACAACAACTGGTTTCATCGTTACATATCATCTGCCTAATTTCTGCAAACGTAAAATTATCATTCATTCCCAAATTAGAAAACAAGAAAATTATCTATTTATCTTCTTGTGCTTAGTTTACACACACATTTATCATACTGAAAACAGTTGCTTCATCAACCAAAAAAAAAAAGGCCATTAATCTGAAAGAAAACATTTCATAATGATCCATGGATCTGTGATCGCATCATATGGATCTAAGATGGTGTATTCCTTGTGAGCACTGGAGAGTGTAAAAAAAAACAAACAAGCACCTTTCGCAATACTCATCGCATCCTTTTCAGATTAAAAACTGAGCTCAATTCCTGCTAAATTTACACAAAATATTACCTTGCTCATTGGCTTGGTATTGTTAGTACACATCCAAAAGAGCTGAACATGTCAAAATCTAGAGACTAGGTTTGGTTTATATGGGGTCTACCATATCTAGTACTCCACTTTTATGTAATTCAAAGTTTTTCATGAGTCTCTAGCACGTAGAAATTTGTTGATCACCAAGTAGTCTCTCAAATCACTCTCTCCTCCTCTCCCCCACATTTTGTAATAAGTATTACACACTGAATACTGTCTGGCAAAACAGATACCTACCTGAATAAAATTGATCATCTTATTGATCAAGTTGAGCATTAACCATCTTGTTAACTGAGAAAGACCTCCTGTCAGCCTGCCCATCCACCCTACCTTTCCTATTACACTTTTCCAGAAGGCAAAAGTATCAATGTGATATGCTGGGAAGATATCTACAGAGACTTTGTCCATACAGCATTATGAGTTCAGCAGTCCTTACATATTAAGATTAGTTGCAAATACTAATGTTACTTCTTAACTCCCTTCTGCCTCTTCAGTAGCAAGAACCAGCCAGACTATCCTTCCCAGGTAGCAGTTCTCAAACAGAGGTTGAGCTCCTGCAGGCATCCTACAGCAATTCACAGACTATTCTTGGGTACTCAAAAAGTGAAGTACTTGTATTATCTTTGTCTCTCATGTAAGTAGTTAACAACAGCAGCTGTTGCAAAAAAAACAAAAGATCCCACCAGTAACCCTTTGCCTAAAGGGTAGATAGACATCTGTGTAATTACATCTATGTAACTTGAAAGAAACGCTTATTTTCAAGAGCATCATGAATAACTGTCTTGCTCATACTTATTGTCCCTTCCAGTTCCAGGTACAACATCATGGTAAGGGAATGCACACTTTGAAATGAGGCTATTTTTCAACAGAGGTCAAAGGAAGTCATGGAAAAGAGGGATGGATACTAATATCTTCAGTATTGGTGTCTGAGCCGTTTGTCTTGTGAAGAATCAGTTACTTTGTATTACAGCTATGTCTTCGACTTGGCTGCACAGCTAATCTTTGGTCTTGACTTAGGCGTATTATTTTAAGACCAGTGCATACAGCACTTAAAGACTGGAGGATAAGTGGGCATATTAAGGGAAACACATTTGCCAGCCAATAAAATTTTTGGTACATGAGAAATATCAGTTTTTTTTTTATAAATAACATCTGCTAACCTCAATATTTTCACAAAAATAATGACTGCCTCTATTTTCACTACTACTGCAAATATACATGGCAATGGAAAAAGAAAATCTCATCAAGAGACATCACACTAAAGCACAAACACTGGAAAGTTATATTACTAATAACTCTAAGTATTCAAAAAAGATTAAAATAAGAAAGAAAATCAAGAAAGGCAAAACCAAGGAAAGGCAAAGAGAGGCAAGAAAAAGCATACAAAAATCATGCCAGTGAGAGAGAAGAGTTTTCTAGAAAATGACTGACTCTCTGGTAACACATTAGTTACTAGGTACAGGAACACGTGTAGACACTTAAGGATTCTTTTTTCAACTAATTTTCTAAGCCTGTTAAATGAAGAGCACTTTTCATATGCTTAAATTCTAATCAGACGTCTAGCACATTTTACCTTGCATATTTTTCTTCGTTTTATGAACAGGATTTGAAGAACTAGAGAATTCAAACAGGAAATGTTAACATTGATTTACTGATCTTTGTTGACAATTCGATTATTCTCCTACCACCACAGCAAGCTTTTCCGTATGCTGATGAGTAATTTGATGCCAAGTTTAATGTGGCCAAAATGACAACAAACATGTTAATGAACAAGGCTGTAGCTATTTCAAAATTGCTGACCCAACTAATATGTAAGCAAACAGGGAGAGGGGACGATATGTTAAAGAGTATCTTATTTTGAAATCAATCTTCTGTAGCTAAGACAATCTAAAATAATATCAGTATACAGAATACCTGAAGTTGTACAGCTGGGATTTTTCAGCAGTATTGAGAGCAATTTGACATTGAACTATCAGTGGAATCAAACGATTGTATGTGAGCTGGCAAGACAGGCATTTGTGTATTAGTTTCCTTTCATGATTGTAACTTAGCTCTCCTAAAATACACACAAAAAAGCAAAACCAGAACAGACTTTTGAATTGAATTTCAGCCCTTCCTAACAGGAAGTATTATGTCTTCACATTTTATGCAGGCCATCTCTTTGACAAGAAAGAAAATAAGAATGGAAATACATAGGAAAGTATCAAGAACACCCCAAAGAGGGAAATCCGCACTAGTTCTTTACCAATTTTTTGCAGATACAGGCTTTCTGCCTTCCTTCTGAGTACAGGAGGCAGGGAGGGATGTGGGTCAGTCTGGGAGTTTCGCAAGGATGGATCCGCCAGCAGGCAGAGTGGTGGAATAACTGTGTCTGTGCCCCACTTTTGCAACACTTTGAATATAGTCAAATATGAAAAAGCAGAAGGGAAATGTGCTTCACCATGCTAAAACTTAGCTTCAGTACAACAGTTCAGGAGTGAGTTCAGCTGGAGAATGTAGCTCAGCTTCTCTAAGCTGAAATAAACTTGGCTACAGACTTACAGAACTGTTTTGCTTTTAGTCACCCACATACCTCACGTGACCTAGGTAAAGTGGAGTAGCTGGCACATCCACTTAAAAATTTAGACAGTTAAACTCAAGGAT